CTCTCTCTCTCTCTCTCTCTCTCTCTCTCTCTCTCTCTCTCTCTCTCTCTCTCTCTCTTAATTTAAATTGCAAATGTCTTTTTCTGTAATTTGAATATTTGATTATAATCTCATGGTAAACGTCTATCATCAATCTGGATTCATAATATGGTATTCAACTACGGCCAAAAGACCTCAGTTTGAAATAGGATGAAGATCACAGACTACCATCGTCGTTTCCATGCAACACACCTTCGTCGAAGTCCGCATGCAACAATCACATTTGCAGCGACTTGTGATCTTTAGAGCCCAAAGTCCACAAGAACTGCTTGATAACAAGATGGTGTAGCAAGAGAAAAGCTTTCAAGCATGCATCACAGTGTTCAGAATGTGACCATGCCGAGATTAGAGCTCGTGTGTGTGTGTGATGTTCTTCCAGTACCAGTTCAAAAACATGGTTTGCGTTACCGAAGCAGATCAGCGTGATGTAAGCATCGACATTTTGCATCTGAAAGAGGAATTTTAGTGTTGACAACAGTTACCGGTGAGAACTGCTACGAAATTTATTTGAGCAGCACAATCACATTGATTTCTATTTCAAATCATAAATCTTGTGTTAGTCTTCCATCTTTTTGTCATGTTAGATTCAGTGTGACCCACATGACATTCAAGTCGCATGTGACATTTAATAGTGATTTAGGAGACTGCTTAAATAATATTGGTCAATGAGGAAGAAATGTATTATTTGATTATGTATATTAATCATAATCAGTTCGATCAAGACCGATTATCGATATTAAAATTCTCAACATGAACACACCGGGTGCGGATTCGAATCACAGCAGTATAAACTCAAACATATAGATTCAGATATATGCAAGGTTCTCAGTACTTGCACAAGAAAATATTTCATCTCTGATGTTTCCTTGCCTTTGTCCCCATGATGCTAATGTGCTGATTGAATCTCATGTAAGTGTATTGTCAAAGTAGATAAGATGCTAAATTCCAGGCTGGTGAAAATGTCAAAGTCGCATAAGAGAATTCCTCTGATAAAAGTAGTTCAAACTGCTTGAAACCTATTTCCAATTCTGAGTTCTCTACTGTCTGCAAATCACATCATCATGGCATAATAACGCAGAATTGGTTTCTGTGATGCTGATGAACATTCGAAGGGCACATCTACTTTACTGCAATAGTTTGCCTAAGATGCAAGTTAATGAACTGAAATTGAAATCGGAAACTTTGTGCGTCTCGCAGAAGAGTGAAACTTCATCCAGAGAATTTGTCTTTGGTGTAAATGAACCTACTTAGATCCTAAAATGCCTTTTCTAGTTCTAGGAAGATGATGCTCATTGAGGAAATAGTTGCGGCCCTTGTGCTTATGGAGCAGATAAGTTGTGCAAGCATGAGACTGTGTGTGATTACAGGCTTAATTTTGTTGGAAATTAAACTTGATTAATGATTGCATGGGTGCATGTGAAGTCATATAGATAACTATAAGATCACTAAGGGTATTGTGATGATGACACTTGATGTGTTTACAGTC